GAGATCAAGGACACACGCACACATAATGTACTTTAGAAATCGTATAAAATAATCCGTTAAAGACTATTTTATTCCAAGAGAACTCTAGAGCGTCATGTATTTAAATTATAAAAGAACTACATTTTAAGGGCGTCACTGAATTTTACAATTAGATCAAAAACCCATCTGCATTTGCACAATTCTACTTAATTTCCTTCAACTTAAATTAACTTATTCATTAAATTAACCAAGGATATAGACCTAAATTATTGGAATATACATCAGTTAATCACTAAATCCCTGCAACACAGACCCTTAATCAATAAGCAACGCTCTAATGCAGCGTTTAGTCAACAATTCACCTTAAGAACAATAAAAAAATCTTCTATCTTATATATTGCTAAATATTAAACCATAACTTCGATAACCTTTTCATAGATAAGACTTCATTCACATGGGCACGCTTGTGCATAATTTGGTGGCGCGCGCGTGCGCAAGTGCGCACATAGAAACAAAATCCTCAGGAGAGCGACAGAAACAAGTGGTGCTTGTCCATCGCCGATCACACTGCACGCAACAAGCAAGTGCGCGCTTGTGCAAGCTTGATCCGAAACCAATGACATATATAGATTAATAGACTGCTCATCCATATATAAACAAGACGACGAAAAGCGGGTCATATTGCTTGGCTTGCCGAGTGCTCACCAGGCAGAATCGGTCTGGCCCAAATGAGTTTAAAACTCATATTTCATCAAAGTAGGAATTCAATTAAAAAAAAAAATTATCTTTATGTTTATTTCAAGACAGGAGCTTGCGTTAGGTATTTTAAAAAAGGATTTTGAGTCATAACGTCTAGTTTCCCAATTTTCAAAACATTTTAAGAGATCTAACCACATAGATATAAACAATTTTACACTCATGTGTATATAACTAACTTTAGACCACGACCACTGTATAGTGGCACTATTCGGACACTTGATTATTCTTTTAAAATTTATTTCGTATTATAAAAGCAGATATTATGCAAAAATTGAATGAACTATTTAAAGATTTTACTAAAAGTTAGTAGCTTTTCACATTCTAAAGTTTGTTCCCTTTAGACAATTAAGGATTATTTTGGCGGTGACTGTGAATGATTTGATGAATAATAATAAGATTCCATCAGTGGAAATCTGATCAACATCATAGTAAAATGAACTAGGTACAAAGTGCAATCTTAGTTGACGTCAAGATCCGTGTACCTTAGCATCAGTAAGGGGGAAAGAAAGATTCTGACTTACAATCACAAAAAGAACGTACAACTAAGCTTAGTCGATGTAAGTTAGTTCAGATTAGTGGTAAAAAGCAAGCGACTATTAATAAAAAGAAAAGTAATCCAGCTAAAACAAGAATTATGGCTACTGTCTTTAATAATGATATGTTGCCAGTACTAGTAGAATGTTAAGTGTTGAGTTATCTTCTTCAGGCAATGGATGTACGTATGCATAATTTTAAATGTTTGGTTAATTATTATTGTTTTTTTTTTGTCATCAGCTTCAACTGCTAAGGTTATTTCGCCTCGTGTTCTGTGTAGGCTTTGTTACTGTTTCCCAGCGCCACTTTAGGAACAGCACTGTTAATTAGAACCCAACAGTGAATGGTCGAGTGAGGAATCCTACCAAGGCATCAGAATTAATTTTAATTAATTAAATTAATTAAAAAAATCTCGGCCAACGGTGGGATTCGAACCTGGGACCCTTGGATCCACAGGCAGAAACTCTACCATTGAGCCACCCACCCCCCTTATAATTATTATGTTTAATGTGTTGTTTTAATGTTTTTTTGAAGTTAATGAACATATATCTACTACTGAAGCAGATAATGAAGATTTGTGTGCTGCTGAAGAGCTTTACAAATTTACAAAACTTTGTTTAAAAGCAGAAAATTGGGATCGATTGTTCAATACAAGTGAAGAGTGGTGATTTAGTTGATCCGTTTTCAAACAGAATTGTTAGTGCTAAAGAACTATCTACTTTAATAGGATTGCAATCCTTCCAGTTATTAGCCACCATTGTGGAATTAGTGGCAGAGTTGTTTCTAAAGAATAGGAAAAAGGAGATCAGTTATGTCTGTAAAGGATCAAGTTATATTTACTTTTATGAAGTTGAAAACTGATATGCAAGATATAATGTTTTATCCATTTTATTTGGAGTGAATGAAACTTTTTATCATTAAATTTTTTAACAGTTTTTAATAAAACTGGTAGAAGTTCTTAGTATGGTATAATTCGGCCTTCAAAACAAGAAATATTAAATATTGTGCCTCTATGTAAGTAAGACTACTACTTGATTGTACCGAAATCCCAATATAGCAAGCCAAATGTCTTTGTTGTAGGCTAAAAAATTACTCTGACTACAAAAAGAGGCATACTATTAAAATATTGACTGGAGTGTCACCTACTGGTCTCATTACTTACAAAAGTGAAGCATATGGTGGTAGAACTTCAGAAATAGACATTTTTTAACAAAGATCAATACTTGAAGTGTGTGAATCATTTCTCGATAGTAAAATGTTTAACAAAGGTTTTCTTATTGGAAACATAATAGAAGCTGAAGGTATACAAATTATGCAGCCTCCTTTCCTCAATAAAAAAAATCAGTTCAGCCATCAAGAGGCTTTACTTAATGCCAAAATTGCCAGAGCTAGAATTTACATAGAAAGAACCTATCAAAAAATAAAAGTGTTTGTCTCTCTGTATTGGTACTTATGTCCGTTTTTCTTCTATTTATATTGAGTTTTTATTATACGATACTTATTCTCTGTATCTAACTAACTTTTAAAATGTACTTGTAAAGCCCAGATAGCTCTAACACGGGCCTTTGAATATAATAATATTTATGTAATTGTATTTACAATAAATACTTTATTATTAATATGATTATTATAATTAATTATAATTCATAAAATTATTATAAACGTATTTACCTTGTACCTAATTGTATTGATACTTGCGTGAAAAATGAAATGTTACTTTTTATATTTCTGTAGCTGGTCTTACAACCCTTTATAGAGCAATTCACCATTTAAATTTAAAAACAAAACAAGTTTTTATACTCAAATAATTAAAAAACTTAAAACAGAACATAAGTATAATTAAAACTAAATAAAATAAACAATTCAACAAAATGTCCGACTGAGTAATGACAATGAGAACAAAATCTCAACTAGACTAAACTTTCTTTAAAACCGGTCCTGTGAAAGGTTTGTTTACCAGTGAGCACTCAAAATTGAGACAAAACATAAACATTGCATGCACTAGACAAAGAGAAAACATCTCCCAGTTCGACCCGCTTTTCATCGTTTTATTTACGTATGGATAAGCAGTCTATTTAAACTATATATGTCATTGTCCGAAACGAAAATATTTGTTTTTTAATTGCAAACGTGCGTGATTTCTGACCATCGAGTCAATTATAGTATAGTGTTAATTGTGGAGTTCCTGATTTGTGTTTACGAGTATATGATGGATACGGAAACGCTTATCGATGCCATGAGAAGAGGAAGATCGATTTGGGCGTGATTTTGTCTAGTATATAAAAAAAGGGACTAGCATCATTCTAAAGTATTTAAAAAACTTATTATATTAGTCTAAGCAAATTGTTAAGTATTCGTGCATACTCTTCATCTTCTTCTTGTCTAAAAAATACTCGTTAATCCAATCTTCCCTGATTTCCTGCTCATTCAAAAATAAAAACTTAAAACACCATTTTCAAAAACAATGTCCTCATCGTCTGACATCTCCATTTTCACTGAACTGTATATAATAATTAACTTGCACTTGCTTGCATTTAGTGTGAGCATATTGCTGTTCACGCCAGCTTGCGCACGCGCGCGCCACCAAATTACTTGCACAAGCATGCCTCTAATGTGATCGAAGCCTAAGACAAGAAAGACAGAGGTGTTATGAGAAAAGATACTTGCTTTTTTGTTTCACAGTCTTTTTATCAACTTCCTCTCCCTACCTCTGGCGGTGCGCGGCGTCACCGTTGCGTAGATGATTCTCTCTACAACGAATTCTTATAAAATCGCTATACATCTACGATACAGACACCGATTCAGGGGACCCCAAAACGTAAAAATCCGTCGAAAACTCGAGGTAGAAAAAAAATCATGATTCCTATTTATACTTTCCTTATCTGTATACAGACAGGAAAGTAAAAATACGAAATAAAAATCCCAACAAGAGTAATAATATTTATTATACGCGAAAAAATAAAATCCTAACGAGTATCTAAATGCTCCTTACATTCTTTGGATTATAGTTAAATTTGATTTGTTCGTACATCCCAGAGTTTAATACCGTGTATCCAGATAGATTTTTATGATAGTTTTTGTAGTTTGGATTTTCTGTTGATTGACCAGTATAATTGTTTTAATTGTAAATCAATTTGTTTATGTTTTTTGACTATATGTTCTTTACATGTGAGAGTCTTGAATTTCTAGATATTTCGTACTTTTGGATAGTGATATTTGAATATTTGTTGGAGGACAGTGATGTCAACCCATCAAAAAATTTCCCCCCAAATCCATTTTAAAATCCCCCTAAATTCCCCCTAAAACGTGATGAAATTTTTAATAGCTCTTAAGGATTTACACAGTACGAAATGACACTATCAAGTTTAGCGATCAAATCATAGAGTGCGAATTGTGAATTGATTTCGTGGAGTAGTCATTTTGACCCTAAAAAATTTACCCCTAAAAAATTCTCTTTTTTAAATTCTTTCCCTTAAAATTTAGGGAGAAAACCGCCCAAGTTGGCATCACTATTGGAGGATATTGAACTTTTCTTAATGTGAAAATCAATGGGACTAATTTTTTATTTATTTTTATTCTTCATTTGGGAGCTGTTTAAAAAGAAAATAAAGGTTTAGGAATATAAATAGTTATTATTTAATACAGCTAATTGGCTTTCTATAAAACTTACATTCTTTGGTGTTAATATCATCTGTATAGTTTTCTATTTTGTTGATTTATCATTTTAGGAGAAGGAGTTTTCCTTCGAAACCTGACCAAGATTGTAAAGAACGTCCTATTAGATTTGCAGTTCGGTCACTCGGATGGGTGGAAATATCCGAAGACGACCTAACTCCGGAACGTAGCAGTAAAGCTGTAAATAAATGTATTGTCGATCTATCTTTAGGAAAAAACGATTTGTTGGACGTAGTCGGAAGGTGGGGCGATGTAAGTAAAAAATAAATTAGTGCGGACTAATCTTCAAAATGGCTAAACGTGTATTCTGTTTTAGGGTAAAGATTTATTTATGGACTTAGACGAAGGATCTTTAAAATTATTCGATCCCGAAAACCTAACTGTTTTGAATACTCAACCTATTCATACCATAAGGGTTTGGGGAGTAGGAAGAGACAACGGAAGGTAAGTAATTCGTTGTAACAAAGGGAACATTTGACTAATTTTAATAATTGTATATTTTGCTGCTTGGAAACAAAACAGAGAAAGGTAAGTTTACGTACCATTTATTTATTTATTTAAACAGTTCGTAATTTAATTTATTTGCACTTAAACACTAATTTATTTGTACTAAATACAACATTAATTTATACTTCTTTTGCTAATATACTAATTTATATTCACAATATTTATCTTAACAACACGATTGACGTTCCAGACTTATTCTTGAATATTCTAGACGTTTCCATCTTTTTATTGGTACATTTTAGAATTATAATTCACTATGAATGGCGATATTCTTGGGCGGGTCATAGAGGGGTTTTAAAGGTTGACTAATTTCATCAAATATTCTTAATAACGGGAGAAATGGAGGCTCTAAGGGGCCTAAATGAGGCAGAGAGGTTTTTAAGGGATTATAGCATGATCGAACGAAAATAAAAATAGCTCGCATGACATTTAATTACAAATATTTTTTTTATTTCCCTTCTTTTGATACTTTGATCATATCGTATGTATTCTTCCAGGGATTTCGCTTACGTAGCTAGGGACAGAACTACTCGCAAACATATGTGTCACGTATTTAGATGCGACATGCCCGCTCGAACCATAGCGAATACTCTTAGGGATATATGCAAGAAGATAATGATCGAAAGGAGCTTGCAACAAAATTTAGGAAAAGCCGTCGACGTAAACGGAAAATCTATAGCAGCGACTAGACCAAATAATCTACCTACGGAACACAGACGTCCGACTAGAAATTCACAAGCTTTTATTTGTAAGTAGAATTATTTAATATTAGAAAATTATAACCATTTTAATTGGTTTAAGCTGTTAAACCGATGGTTTTTGTTTTGATTATTTGGTTTCAAAGTCAGAGCTGTGCTGTTATCTTTACATGTGCATATTAGATACCAAAATTGTCTGTAATAACTTTTTTGTATCAGCCTTACGTTAAAAACAGTAGCGTACAAAATTTAATTCCCTATCAAAAAGGTTATAAGTGTTTTGCGAACAGAAACACAGAATTGAAATAAACATAATGAATTCGATGTCAATTATCGCTCAAAATGTACGTTCCGATAAAGAAAATGAGGTTTCTGAATGTGCACAAATCATATGCCATTTGCCATTCGTAAAAAAGTGAAAATAAATGTAAATTTATTAATTTAAAATAAATTAGTAAATGTGAATTTATTAATTTAAAATAAATTTTACAGATATTTTATTTTATATAATGCCAAGTTGCATCTTTCTATGTTTTAATAAACAAAGGAATTATATCTGGAGTGACTTAATATCAGTAAGTACATGATTTGACAGATACGTACGCTCAACTGCATTATACATCTATACAGGGTGTTTTAAAATAAAGTACCGTAAACTGTGGAATTTGTAGATCTTAACTAATTATTAATAAAAGCTAAATATAATTTTCCTGTAAACGTCCCACTTTTCATTCTACAGGGTGATAAAGAGAATTTCATAAATACATATAATTTTCATAATATCTTTCCTTAAATTAAAAATAAGTATAATATGTTAATTAATCGTCATTATTAGTTAACATACTCTATTTCGATAAATTACGATAACCCATTGGCGTAGAATCAAGGTTATAGAATACAATTTTAATCCAAACTTTTTGAACACCCTATATTTCATAAAAGTTAAGATTAGTAATTATTTCCGAGATTTTTTAGTTTGAGTTCTACTCAAACATTAAATTTATGTTCAATATTATCAAGGGTGATTTCGTAATGAATATTAGAAGGTCCTTTAAGGGAGCGTCCATTAATTACTTGAGATATTTTTGAGGATTTTTTTAATTAATCACGATGACTTTTAAAAGCTTTGTCCATATTTGAGGACATATAAATTTACACGCCAAATTTACGTTTCCAGATACAAAATCTGTTTGAAGTATATTATAATATTGAATTTTATTCTTACCTAACAAACCAAGCACTTCTTCATAAATATCTTTACCATTTAACACATCAAAACCTTCGCTATGTATTAGTAAAATATTTAGAAATAGTATTATCCCATATGACGGCCATTTTGATAGCTTACAGAACATTTTCCATAAAAGGTTATTATAAAAATAATAATAATAATTAAAATAAATTGCGATTTATTGTTATTTTCGGAAAAACCGGAAGTACGCCATGATGTCACAGAATCAATTATAATAAAGATCTTACTTCAAACTTTTAAACAAAACAAAAAAATATTTCAATATCTCAATTATTAACGAAATTAAGTGGGGATGGAACTTTTGAATGGCCCACCTTCATAGTTTTCATGTTTGAGTAGGACTAAAAGTAAAAAATCTCGGAAATGGAATGTTCTACAGATATTAACCAAGAGTCCAGTTTTTGTGACAAATTCCGTGAAGAATAATAACTATTAATCTTAATTTTTATGAAATATAGGGTGTTCAAAAAGTTTGGATTAAAATTGATTTCTTAGCCATTGATTCTACGCCAATGGTTTATCTTAATTTATTGAAATAAAGTTTGTTTACTAATAATGAAGATTAAATAACATATGCATATTTTTAGATTAAAAATTATGTATTTATGAAATTCATTTTATCACCCTGTAGAATGAAAACTGGGACGTTTACAGGAAAATTATATTTAGCTTATTTTAATAATTTGTTAAGATCTGCAGGTCCCCAGTTTACGTTACTTTATTCTGAAACACCCTGTATAATAAAATCAAGTTTAAAAATAATATACAAGTAGGGAATGGTTGAAGCTTTGATTTAATTAATTATTAATAAGAAATTAAATACCTAGGTTAATCGATTGTCATCCATTGTTGGGTTCCAATTAATAGTATGTATATACAGGGTGACCCATTAGTGCGTAATTGCTCGATAAATTATTTTTTTTTACAGACCCAGTAACAAATTTTAAATAAGAGTTATATGGATTTTAAAAATGTTGGATATACAGGATGTTACGCTTTTGCCTGACAAATAAAAATGTATATTATTTATATAGAACGGCCTGTATTTAATTTCAGTTGTAGAATAGTCTAGTTATACTGTATTTAACTCTAAAATATTTTTGAAAAATATTACAGGGTTGCCGGACAATTAATTATTTAGTGAAATTTCAGAATTTATCATAATTTAGGTAGGTTAGCAATGGTATCAATTTTTTTTTATATATAGACTTACAAGATACCAGGCTGAGGAATAGTGGTGAAAAAAATTGTTTATTTTGTACAGAGTGTCTTGAAAAATATCTTAAATGTTGTAAGTTCAATTTACTCGGTTTTTTCAAATGAAACACCCTGTATATTATTTTAGCATACACTGTCTTTTAAATGTACCTATCCAACGATAGTAGCAGGTTAGCCAATTATACATATATAGGGTGTTCCATAATACTTATATGATCGATAGCTGTTTTATTATTGGAGATATGAAGAAATTTTTAATACAAAAGTAGTAGGACGATATTTTACAATTATTCTTAAATATACAGGGTAATCCATAAATGCGAGGCGAACCAAACTTATACCTTTTCAGTCTAAACAATCTGGATACCAGATTTGTTTGTTTTTACATCATTAAACAATTTTAATAGACTTAAAATTTCTAAAATGCTTTCTATTTTTATTCATTTGTTATGTATGTGCCTGCGAGATAATGATATTTTCAATTTTTTTAAATGCAATACTCTATATGTTGTCATACAACCAATTTATAAATAATTTTTTTTTATTTTGTTTGGCATTACCTATACCCAAACGCATTTTTTTTTTCAAGATTTTAAAGGTTTTATTATAAAAATTCACATTTTTCTAATTATAATTGGTTTTAGAAACCGTCAGTTACAAAAACTACAAATAAGTAGGTTAAATTATATTATATAATATGAGTAGGTTAAATTGATTTTTATAATTCTTCAAATAAAACAATCCTATTTTCAAATTATTTCTTCTGAAAATAATTCAAAATAATGGTTTTCTATTCTCCCGACGTCAAAAAAAATGTTTTAGTTTAAGGAATGCGAAAAAAATTTAAATTAAAGAAATTAATTAATTGGTAATATATCATACAGGATATTCCATTTCAAAAATTTAGAAAATAGTAACTTTCAGTTTTGACACACTTTGTATACAACATAACAAATATTAAAATTGTTTGACGCTGTGAAAACAATCAAATATTTGTAACTATCTACTGGGTGTTTTGCTTTAGAAAAGTATAAGTTTGATCAGCTCTTCGTTTATCAGCCATTCTGTATATTTAAGAATAATTTTTAAATATGGTCATACAACTTTTATATTAAATATTTTTTCGTATTTTCAATAATAAAACAGCTATCGATCAATTATGCACTGATGGGACACTCTGTATATGTATAATTAGCTAACCTATTGCTATCGTTGGATAGGTAACTTTTTAAGGAATTTTGTGCTAAAATAGTATACAGAGCGTTGCATTGAAATTTTTTTTGTAAATCGTACTTAAAATAGTCATAGACATTTGCCGTAAAAAAAGGACATTTGCCATAAAAAAAGGACATTTTAAGCTTTAAAAAGTCACAAGGACATTTTGCTTCAAAAAAGGACTCCTTTTCAAAAATGGACATGCGGGCAGCCCTAATTTCTCTCCTTTTATATTCTACAATTTTGTTTCTTCTTTTTATACAATATCCCAAATTATCCCGCTGATTTTGATGGGATTTGGAACATAGGGTTTCTAGGGTCTCCTGAAGAGCTGATTAGATTTTGGTTATAGTCGGAATAGAGGGTTGTGTTTCTACTTTTAAGGTTCCATCAAGTTTATTAATAAAAAAAAAGAATACAATTTGGTATATTTAGACCCAGAGCTTAAGACTATGTAGGTCTTACAAGGTACAAATTTTATAATATCATATCAAAGAAGAAGAATTCAGTACCTGCTTAGTTATAATAATAACAATACTACTACAAAATTAATAATTAAAAAAAATACAGTAATTTAATATCACACTATTACTTAAAAACTATTTAAACATGAAGATATCAATTAAGAAAATTCTATTAAGTGAGCTTTTAGTTTTTTTAAAAGAGGTCAGTCCTTATGTTCTTTATGGTGCTAGGAAGCTCATTGTATTGTCTTAAACCATCAGATAGTATGCTTCGGTCACCAAAGCATATTCTTACGGCTGTGGTTCTGAAGCAGCTATTATTCCGAGTATTATATCTATGGATATCATAGGAAGTAGTCAGTTGTATGGATGAGCGTATATTATTCAGAGATAGGTTATGAATAAAAATGTATGTCTGCTATTTAGAGAAGGACTGAATGTCTAGAATATTATTTGGACGATACAAAAGATCAGTAGGACGACAAAAAGGAAGTTGAAAAGCTTTTCTGATTGCTCTATTCTGTAGAATTTACCAGGGTTTTAGTCTATCTTGGGAAGTTTTGCTCCAAATAAGAGTTAAATATGATAGATGTGAATGAATTAGTGAATGATACAGTCTTCCTTAAGTCAGCTGAAAGGTAGCAGGCAACACGTCCCAATACTTCAATGGCAGGACTAATTTTTTACACAATTGAGCAATATGATGTTCCCAGTTGAGCTTGAAATCTATGTATAAGCCAAGATTTTTAACCATTCTGTCTTAGTCAACTGTTCATTGTCTATATTTATTTGGAATTGGTTCCATTCAGGCCTTTTTGATATCACTAAAAAACTTGACTTTTCAGTATTCAGAGTTAATTTATGAAACTTTAACCACTCAAGAATTTGAATTAGATCTTGCTCTATAATAAACTTTATTTCGTCTGTATCTTTTCCAACATAGATGAGACAAGCGTCATCAGCATAAAGTTGCAGATAACCCAGCTAATGGTAGCTGAGCTATGGAGTTTATATAGATCAGGAATAACGTTGGTCCAAGAATTGACCCCTGGGGTACACCATATTGTAGATCAGCCATTTTACTTGAGGTATTTCCATTACTTACAAACTGTGTACGACCATTGAAATAATATCTGAAGAAAGACAATGCATATCCTGTTATTCCATAGTCTTCCAAAATAGATAACAGTACGGAGTGATTAACAGTATCAAACGCCTTCTTTAAATCAAGTGAAACAGTGATACATGCATTGCCTTCATCCACATGATATCTGATATTGGTAATCATATCTGTGACTACCGACGTTGTGCTACTCCACTACGAAAACCATACTGTCCCTCGTACCAAAAATTCTTTTAGAACTTAATTGGAGAAAACATTTTTTCGAATAAAAGTTTTTCCCGATGTCATCTATATTTTTTGATATAAACATGATGTCCCTAAAATGGACTGTATTATATATATTTGAAGAAAAGTACAATTATCAGGATCTAACTTTAGTGGAATGTCATGTGTTGGGACGAATTAGATATAAATGTGAAAACATATAATAAAATAATTGATATTAAACTATTGTTTTAAAATGTTAATTACCACCGATTTCGAGGAGTTTTAGGTGGGGAGGTTGCTGCCGCTTGACGATTCTGCGTTTTTAACATAATACCGATAAAAATAGTTGTTACAATAATGCCCGATTACAGTAAATATGCATATTTAAATGTTTGTTTTGAACTAATCTTATTTGTAATGTGTCATTTCTGACCTCGAAACAAAATTGTTGAAAAGAAAAAAATCATTGGCTGCTTGTTAATATCGATGATTTAATCATATTTTTTACAGCTCAATCTTTTCCAACACCAATGGAAGAACCAAAAAAGATTCTCAGAGCCCAGTATTTAGGTTGCACGCAAGTAACAGCAGCGACAGGCATGGACATTCTCAACGAATCGATAGATAGGTTGGCTACAACTGTGCCACCCGACCAATGGCAACCCGTCAATATATCTATAGCTCCGTCTATGATCAGTATTCATCATCCACATGTAAGTTTATTTTTGATACTTTCATAAGGTTATAATTATTATTAGTTATTTATGCAATGCAAATTTGTTATGTGTTTTTAAACCAGCGTGTTTCGATTTCCGTTGATTTTGCACGAAGAAAAATATTCATCCTTGTTCTTCAATACAGTGTGATTATTAAAAATGTACTTTGTTTTTTAGGATGAACGGGTTTTAGCAGAATGCAGAGTACGATATCTATCGTTTCTGGGTATAGGCAAATTAATCAAACATTGTGCATTTATAATGCATACGGCACAAGATACTTTTATGGCGCACGTATTTTATTGCGAACCATCATCAGGCGCTTTGTGTAAAACTATTGAAGCAGCTTGCAAAGTGAGTATAAATCATACTTTTATTTTTTTGCAACTTTTGAACTACTCTAAAAATTATAGAAAAGTACTTTGATCAAATATTTAACATACTCAACAACTATTCTTTGCTGTTTTTTTATATTTAATTTTCTAGACAGCTGGATCGTTTTTTTAATATTTTATGTCATTGACATAATTTGACAAAAATTGCCAAAATTTATTCAAAAAAATTCAAATTTCAGTAAAAATTATAACCATTTCAAATCAGTTACGTTTTTAAAATCCAAATATCTCAAAATTGATTTTCATATCAAAATCCTAGTCAAAACTTTTTAAAATAACCAAAAAAAATAAAAATAACAAATGAATTAAATAAATAATCAAAATGGTATTGGAGAGCACTATGATATGTGCAGATACGAGTGATTATATGAGAAATGGTGACTTTATTCCCAGTAGGTTATATGCTCAACAAGATGCTGTTAATATAATCTGCAGATCTAAAATTAGATCTAATCCAGAAAACAACTTCGGTTTGCTGACTTTAGCGAAAGTTAAAGTGTTAGCAACCCTAGGTAACGACGTCGGTCATATCATGATCAAGCTGTACAACATCCAACCAAACGGCGATATAGATTTACCTACAGGACTAAAAATTGCGCATCTAGCTCTGAAACACCGAGAAGGAAAAAACCACAAAATGCGTATTGTCGCTTTTGTAGGCAGCCCTGTTTTTAGCGAAGAAGAAGAACTGGTAACGATTGCTAAAAAACTAAGAAAAGAGAAAGTTAGTGTTGATGTTATCAATTTTGGAGAAGAAATTTTTAATTTAGAAATATTAACGTCTTTTGTCAACAATATTAATGGTAAAGAAGGAACTGGAAGTCATTTATTAACAATCTCCAGCGGAGTTGTCCTTTCTGATGTATTAATTTCTTCTCCAATCGTACACGGAGTTGATGGAACTGGAGCAATTAGGTTGGAAAGTATTGAAAATGATCAAGATCCCGAGTTAGCGATGGCTCTTCTTATTTCCATGCAAGAATATCGACAAATAGAAGAAGAGGAAACTCGTAGAGCCAATAAACCAACTACATCCAGTAAAGAAGCTGAACCTGAAACGATCTTACCAAAAGACCGTATTATACGCTTGAATGAAGTTAATTTTGAAAACATGTCGGAAGAAGATCAATTACTATACGCTTTGCGAATGTCCATGCAGACAATTGAAGACGTTTCATCGACTCGAGCCGATCCAACTGAGAATGAACAAAATCAAGCGATGGACGATCCAGCCATTTTGCAGAGTATTTTGGAAAGTTTACCTGGGGTGGATCCAGATTCGGATGTAGTCCGTCAAGCCGTCGAAGACGCAAAGAAAAAGAAGAAAGAAGACGAGGCAAACAAAGAGGCAAAAGAATAATTTATGCCCTTGATGATAATAAGTTCTTTATTGGATTTTAAAAAGTTACAAGAGGCCATTGCTTTACGTAAAATTGGTTTTTATGATGCAATATTTTACATAATTAATATTTAAAAGTATGTACCTAAAGCATTATATAAGTATATTGATACAAAAAAAGAATTTTATTGAATTGGTTCCTGAATGGTGTCAACGATGTCAATTTCATTGTAGGCAGAAAGTTTCTATTAAATACTTATTTTTCTACTTCTGCTTAAATTTTCTTGTCGGCTCGTTTAAACGCTGTAGTATGAGTGTAATATTAACTGGCTGGCATAATCAGAAATTGCCAACGAATTAACTACTCGGATCAGTTCGGTACTCAGAATAACAGCCTCGTAAATCCCGACGTGTTAGACTAATACGTTGGCGATTTACGAATTAAGAGTACGTTAATAGACCTCACCGGCAGAATAAAGATGAGATACTTAATTATATTTGGATGTGAGATAGATAAAGAGAGCAATTGGTTTAAGCACAGTATTGTTCCTGATTGTACAATTGTACAAAAAGTTGTACAATCAGTTATGTGGTTGTACTGTTGTACACACTTTTGACAGAAGTGTACAATTTGTAGTTGCCAAATATGTAAAATCAAGTATATAAAAGGTTTTCTTCGCCCAGAAAGGTTATGATTCGTTAAAATTATTTAAAAAAATAAAAGTTTAAATTTGGCGCCATTCGCGACCAATCAGTACACCGTTTTACATCGTAAATATATTTTAAACTGGAAAAAAAAAGAATTTTAAGCATCGGGAAGTAGTAGACCATAGTCTGTCAATAAAAAAGAAGAAGATTAATTAGTGGTTGTACAATCAAACGTAAAAGTGTACAAGTTTGACACTGAAAGTTGTACAATTCAAAGATCCTTAGGAACAACAATGTTTAAGCACGCCCTTTCGATGGTAAGGATAGGATTAGTAATTACTTGCCCCCCCCCCCCCCCCGAGCTGTTCGAACAAATCCAAGAATTTATTAAATTGTAATTTAAAAACAACGAGATTTTACGAGAAAGCAAAAAAACAAGATGACGTGACGAATGAAGAATAGAGAAGCACAGGCTGGCGTACAGTATTTTTTTATTTTTTAAATAAACGAATGGTTCTTTGATAAAATTTTCTACCTTCTCCCCCCGAAAAATCTTCCCAGATCCGCACCTGTCCGTCTGTTATTCTATTTCTCTCTAATCAATACTATTGTGTTTCTATACCGTTCTACTGAAGTAAGGAAAGCAAAGTTAACGTACTGTATAGTTTTAACCTCACATAATTAGGAACATTCATTAAAAATTCAAAAAGGTGAATTGTATATTAGGGCAAAGTAAATAATGACATTTGAAAATATTGTTGGCTACATATTGGCAACTTTTTTATTATTAGTCTTATCAAAAAATTGTATTCTTTATAAAAAGTTCTACATACTCTAAAACCTAACATACAACCATAAGATATTAAAGTTTTTGAGCCGTATGTAAGGTGCGTCAAAAAATATAAATTTAACTCAAAAGTTAAGTACTTTTATTTTTGAAAAACTTCTTATACGACTGATAAAATTTGGTATCAAATGATTGAATTTCAGGTCTTAAGTCATGAAAAACATTTTATGCAGAATAACTTTTTTTTTCTAAAATGAATAATAAAAAAGTTTTCCATATATATGCTGCTAACTTACGTAGACAGTCTACTATTATTAATCGGAAAAATGGTACTGTGAAGATGATATGACGTAGATTAATGATAAAGAGAAAAATCATGCGCAGTGGCGCAGCCAAAAAGACTTATATCTCCGCTATTATTAAATAGAATCAAACAAAACAAACGGCGCTATGAAGGAGACGTGGTATAGATTAACAAAATCATGCGCAGTGACAGTGTCAAAAGGACCTAAGTGTTAATCTCCACTGTTATTTGTCCGATTCAAACGTAACAAACGACACTATGAAGGAGATGTGACGTACATTAACATTGACAAAACCAAGAAGACCTAAGTCTATATCTCTGCTTTTATTGGTTAGAATCAAACGAAAAAACGGCGTTATTAAAGACACGTAACGTAAATTAATGCTGCAGAGAAAAATAATGTGCAGTGGTAATGCCAAAAGGACCTAAGTCTATCTTCATTGTTATTCGGTTTGATTCAAACAAGAAATAAAAGACAGGTAGATACTTCACCGATGCCAACGTTAAAAGGACCTGTCTATATTTCTGCTATTATTGGACATATATTCAAACGGATCAAAAGGACCTAAATCTATATATTCGTTATTATTGGTCTAATTCAAACGGGAAAAACGGTAATGTGTAAGAAAACGCAACATAGAATAACGCTGAAGAGAAAAATCATGGGTAATGGCAATTCCAAAAGGACTTGTGTCTATATATTCGTGTCTATTGGTCAGATTTGTACAGGTTAAACGACAATCAATGTGAAAAGTCATATAAATGTAATAAATACCATCAAAAAGATGCGCAGTAGCATTGTAAATGAAGGGTAATGTTATGTAACCTACTAATAATGATTGATTGTCATTCATTGTGCCTTATTACCACTTTTTTGTATTCAGGTGTTCGATTCTCATAATTTTTGAATATGTAATGTGATACGACATGCTAATAATGAATCTGTCAATTAAATGTCATTTTAAAATCATTGACAAGCTATATAGACGTGCGATATGTCAAATAAAACGGTAGAATGTAAGGATCACGTCCTTTTGACATTGCTACTTTGATCGACTCGCTAATATGCCTACCTCATTCAGACGTAACTCCACCGAACCATACCATTCGTCACAACCTGTTAGGAATGATCGGAATCAGTTACCGATTGCGTTTGAGAGATTGCCAATCTCCTAAACTAAAATCAAAAATGATACCAGGAGATATATTGAGGTTGAACGATGGGGCGTTAAGTTCGATGGAGATTATAGCGTCATGTACTTCCTCCAAAAGATAGAGGAGCTGTGCATGTCAAAAAGGGTTTTGAAAAGTCGATGCTTTCAAGCAGCTCCTGAACTTATTACCAATGATGCTCTTTCTTGATATCGAAAGAAGGGTGTATGCCTCTTGATTATGAGCATCTGCTTTTAGAGGAAATTAGACGCCGGACTATAGATCCTAAGGAGAAAGTGGTTTGCTTCGTCTCTGCCATGGAGAATTTGTTCAGCAAGTTACCAATCAAACCCACCGAGACAGAGAGGCGACATACCATAAGAAGGAATCTATTACCACAGATGCAGACAAAATTGGCACTACAGACTATATCCTCAATCCAAGAGTTGATCCCTTTGGGATGGGAAATTGAGGAATCGGAGATGATTTTTTAGCGATACACTCCACCTACCACTAACTCTAGGCAACTACTGGAACTCGAATTAGCTCACAGGAAGCCAAATAATTTCCAACCATTTGTAGCCACTGTTGAGGTCCCAAGAAAAACAAATAGTTCCCCTCCGCCTCAGCCTACTGATAATCCTGGTGCAACGGAGGTCTAGCAAATTTCTCTGGCCCAAAGTGCTGAAATCGCAATGACTTAGGCCTTTGATTTAAAAAGTGCCTTCTTCAGCGTAAATCTACGTCACGTTTCCTTCATAACGCCGGTTTTTTCGTTTGATTCTATCCAATAATAGCAGAAATATAGACCTAAGACCTTTCGACATTACCAGTGCACATGATATTTCTCTTTAATGTTAATCTACGCCACGTCTCCTTCATAGTGCCGTTTGTTATGTTTGAATCGAACAAATGAAAGTGGAGATATATACTTAGGTTCTTTTGACATTATAACTGCGCATGATTTTTCTTTTCAGTTTTAATCTATACCATGTATACACCGATATTTTTAATGCTAAATAGTTATTTATTGAAAGCAGGCTTACATATTTAATTATGGTATACATTTGCAAAATGTTTCATAACTTTTTACCATCTTATTGCAACAAATTTGTAATTTTTAATAATCAAATCCGTTGTATTTCATTATTCTCGTTTTTTTACAACATTACTTACGTATATTAAAAAGGCTAAAATAATTCAACTTATTTTATTGCAACTGAATCCAAAAAATTTTGAATTATTACTTATATCAAATTTAACTAAATTAGATGTAATAATTTTCAATAAATTCCAAAACCTAGTCATGTTAGGTTTGAAGTGGCAACAGGGCTTACACCGGCATGGATATTTACGTTGTTTATTATAAGCGTCTTACACATTTATTCATTGATAAAAAAGTTGTATTTGCATAAAATTCTTCTCTTTATCCCCTCTCTTACTTCTACCTTCCGTCTCCTCGCCGCGTCCCTACAAATAGAGCGTATTGATTGTCGAATTAATCTTGGCATCGTAAATATTATATTTTATCAATGAATGGTTATATATCTCTGTTATCTCTTGAGTATAATACTAGAATAAGAAATAATTTGTATGTAAATAAATAAAATATTAATTTTTAAACGATTTATTAATTATAACAGTCTATCTTAAAATGTAAAGTCTTCTAAAAGGAGTTTGTTGTGTAGACTATTGTTTGTGTAATATCAATGATGTGTAATTTTTACTTAAAAACAAATACTGTTTTGTATATTAGGATGTACCTATTTTAATAAAGCTATCTATCTATTTTTGGGGTTTTACAACTAAGATCTAACAAATAAAAGTACAAACTTAATTTGACCGTTTTTTTACAGCTTAGGTATCAGAAATGCCTAGATGCTCATCCTCAAAGTATGGGGAATTCTAGCACTAATGTACATACGCCTGGAAGCAGTATTGGAGCAGCTTTAAAATCAATTGTGGGATCACTTCGGGGCAGAAAGAGCAAAAGTGCAGAGTCTTGAGATAAATTCACGCATCTGCAGGTAATGTTAAAAATTTATCACATGTACACGTGTAGTAATAACACAATATTTTACTGACCTGGGATTCACGCAATAGTAAATATATATCGAGAAGCTGGATTAGATATTTATCAGTTATTTGCCAAAATGATTATTATAAAATAACGTAGGGACAAACACACTTTACTACCAGTAAATCATAACTATACACAACTATGCCCAATTTGATACTAGCGAATTTAAGGTTATTTTCGTAATGTATATTGGTGTTATTGAAATACATGTTGATATTAAAAGTGATGTCCAAAAATTTCGTAAATTGGACCAGCAATATCTACTACAACCACTTCGATAGCAGCAGCATCTCTAACTCTGCCAACAGGAAGAGAAACTGGTTCAGATTTTGCAAATAACACATTTAGAAACAATACTTTTGATACTATGACAAACTTTCAAAATCCAAAATCGTTCTCCAATTACTCCCAAGAAAACCTGTACATGACACGCTTTCTCTTGTTCATGTCATGTAAGTTTTCCCGAGATGAGTATCAGATATCCTAAAATATACAGTGTTCCCTCTGTGATAATCTTGTTCTCACCCTGATGACCCCTGCATCATCTGTAACAGGATTTAAAGAAGAAATCGCATTGTCTGAATTACCAGCAGGAAAAGATTCCCTTTGAACAATCAATAAAATTTCTTCATAGTTAAAGTGTCACTGTTTTGTATCTGGTTTGTTAATCACTGATTAAATTTTTTTGTCGCAGATATTTGTATATTGGCAATAAAACTGTTAATATCGACATAATTTTCAGGACTGCGGCGTAGGATCAGCAGAGCGCGAAGTGGTTAAACACAAACACCTGCAATCACCCTTAACACAAAAGTATTTTAGTACTAGTACCCCTCCATCAGCGAATCTCAGCTCTCTACTTTCACCAACTATGGTAGCGAAATACCCTAGTCTGTCTCATCGTTGGGATCCTTTTTAACTAATTTTTTTTTTTATTTAATTTACATTGATGTTCCTATTTCGAGGAGCATTGTAGGATAAGATTGTGTAACTAAATATGAAATTGTTGCATTTCGAATAAGGATTTTATTCTTTTCGAAATAATAGACATAGGTTTTTAGAATCTCAAGTTCCTTAAATTTATTAAAACTCAATTTAAGCAGTGGCGGCGCTGTGAGAGGGTTCTGGGGCGCCATCCTCCCTGCAAAGTTAAACAGCAACATACGAAATATTTGTTTAAAAATAATTGAAAACAAACGACCACTGTAGTACTGAGTTAATTGCTTTTATTTGTGAACTTTTTAATAATTCTTTATTGGCCCTAAATGCCCCGTTTCTTTCCCAGGTACGTAAGACACTGCCACTGCATTTAAGATTAGTAAAATAATAAATATTTGGAACATTGAAGATTATTTGAACCTTGTTGATAACCTTATTCGTTCCTCTTTAATAAATGAACTACTGCCTGTTGTCGATAAGCAAATATAGTCAAGAGTATTGGTTTGTTGTACGTTTACCTAGATTTTTTAATCTTTTGAGCGAATGTAACATGAATTAATAATTATTATCCAACACAATGTTTTATTAATCAGCTATATACTCTTAATAGCATTCATTCCAAATGTTTATAACGAGATTAATTTGTTATTATTAATATTATTACTCATTTTATATTTAATGCATTTACGTTCTTAAAAGTCTGTTATAATGTTTGATTTAACAAGTTAATTATATTCTGGGTTGTTCCTAGAATGCGTATTTAATTCTAAAAATATCGTTTCAGCAATATTTTTACTAAATATTTTAAGTTTCAATCAAAATAGAACAACGTGGTTTCAACGAACATAAAATTTCAACTATAACTTAAATTCCTCATAAAAACTGGAAAACGAAATTATTTTATGAACATTTCAATAGCTAATTAAGTTTTTTCGCATGTAATCAACTTTAAATATCCTATACAGAGTGTTTTTGAAAATAGTGAACTTCTTTCACATATGGCGACAGTTTTGGTACTTAGAGTAAAAAATGTTTAATTCCTATGTCAAAGATTACATAGACTGAAAAAATAGGAATGAAACGACGATAGCAAGTAATCATGTGTATTAAAAAAGCTACAGATACGTTTTTTCTCTAAAAGTTCTGCTCACAATGGTTTTAGAAATGCCAACCACCATACAAAAATCGTGTACTAGATTATCTATAAAAATATTAAAAATGTCTTTATCCATAATATTCCACTTGCTTTTTTTGGTAATTACTATACTCGTTAGGGACACAGCTATGAAACATGAATAAGATACGTAAATAAGAGGGTGGGTTGAAAAATAGCACACATGGGGTCTATTCTGTAACAATTCCTTTATATTTTAACAGTCATTAAAAACTCACTACTGTGTCAATATTTAAAGGGATTCCTTTAAAATGTCCCCTTAAACATTATTTTTAAAGGGGTGTTAAAATGCATCATTAATTTTTGACATAAAGTAAAATGACGTTTTATGATGTAATTAGAGACGTTTTGATTGAAGAAATATTGGAAAATGAAGAAAGGTTTGAAGTACATAACAGTTTTAATGTAAAAGCTATTACCTACCTACATTTTTTAATATTTCAGGGCAGCATTTAATTTAGATTACATCAAAGGTCAATTAAGAGACTTAAGCGACCGTTCCAATTTCCAAACTTATCTTTTAAAAGCATAAAAAATATTCCAAATTTAACTTTTGAAAGCATAAAAAACATTTTTAGAATAGTAAAGAAATAATAATTATGTTTGGTTATGTGTTATGTTAGCCTCTCTTCTTTTTATTTTCTTAAATGGACTACTCCCATGCGTAACTTAGTTCAAAATTAGTTCAAATGAATCGTAATCACTAATCAATGCGACGTTGTCAAGCTTTCCCCTGATATATTAAAGGACTCCGTTAAAAGTAATAATTTTTAACAGCCCTCTAAAAATTGTGGATATATAGGGGGTTATGATGGACAAGCAATGTTATTTTTAACAGACACGTTATTTGTGAACAGGTTGTAATTTCTGTGTGTTTATAAAATAACAGACCTGTTAAAAATAACACAGAATGGGGTCTATTCTGTAACAATTCCTTTATATTTAACGGCCTTTAAAAATATTGACGGCCTATAAAAATATGTTTGTATTCGTTAATTTACTTCTGTCATTATTTAAACAGATTTCTTTAAGGTAGTCCTCTAATGTATTTTAAAGATCCGTTTAAATAATGACAGAAGTAAAGAAGAAAATATTTTTAAAGGCCGTTAAATATAAAGGAATTGTTACAGAATAGACCCCATTGTCAATCATAACTCCCATAATACCGTTTTCGATTAAAAAAATTAACGAGCGGCTAAAAGTTAAATTTTTAAAGGATATTTTACAAAATAGACCCTATACTTGTAGAACGCAAATGAAAAGAGAAATCACCTATATTTTCAAATATCCCATTTGTGCGGATTTGTTCAATATTTGAATTTCAAATAAAAGTTATATGGATTTAAAAAAATACGTATTTTAAAAATATTTTTGGATATACAAGGTCTTGCGTTTTAGTCTGGTATATAAAAATGTATATTTTTTAAATATAACACCCTGTATTTTATTTCAGTTTTAGAATGGTTTGGTATTACTGTAGTTTTTAAAAAATATTACAGGTTTGCCAAGCAATTAATTTTTTTGTGAAATTAGATAATGATTCAGTCCCCAAATGAAATTATCATAATTTAGATATAGGTATTTACAATGATTTAAATGTGTTTAAAATGCAGACTTATAAGATACTAAGCTAACGATTAGTGGTGATAGAATTGATTTTTTTTATACAGTGTCTTGAAACATGTCCTAAATATGGTTAATTTTAGGTTCAATTTACTCAATTTTTTAAATGCAACATCTTGTATATTATTTTAGTATAAAATTCCTTATAAATTTACCTATCCAAAGATACCAACATGTTAGCCAATAACCCATTAGTGCGTAATTGATCGATAGCTGTTTTATTATTGGAAATACGAAAACAAAAATAATATAAAAGCTTTATGACCATGTTTAATAAATATTCTTACATATACAGGGTGGTCCATATACGAGTCGCTGACCAAACTTATACATTTTTAAAGCAAAACACATATTTGATTGTTTTCAAATCGTCAAACAATTTTAATAAACTTCATTTATTTACTATATTGTATATAGGGTATCTCAAAATGCGAGGTAACGATTTTCTCAATGTTTAAATGGAATACCCTATATCGATGGTTTAGCGCACAAATGTGTTGAGTGCAAAATTGAGACAAATTGTGTTAAATGCATGTACCTACTTATATGTGTACAAATAATTTATCTTTATTTTGCTTTATTATGTAATCGGAAACAACTAAGAAGTGTTGAAAGGATATGGTAGATATATTTCATGTAAAATATAAGAAAGTTATAGCTTCAAATCTATAAATTTAAATTGTAAAATATTAGCAAAATGTTACTTAACATCTGTGTGCACCAAACCATTGATATGTTATGTTAAAAATTAATTAATACAGGGTATTCCATTTAAAAAATTGATAAAATCGTAACCTCACGTTTTGATACACCCTATATACAACATAGCAAATTAATAAAGTCAATTCAAATTGTTTGACAATGTGAAAACAATCAAATATGTATAACAAATTGCATCATTCTCTAATTAAAAAAAAATTATTAGGCAAAACTGTATTATTTTTTAAAAACATTCTAAGGTTGAATACAGTAATACCAAACCGTTCTAAAAAAATAAAATACAAGGTTTTCTGTTTAAGAAACTTACATTTTTATTTGCCAGGAAAAAAGGCAACATACTTTATAACCAAAAATATTTTAAAAATGTGAATTTTTCAAGTCCATATAACTTATATGTGTCTATAACACAAATTGAAATATTGAACAATTACGCACTAATGGGACACCCTTTATACTAAATCTAACACGTT